TCGTATTTGGCCGACGGTTTGTACCCAGCTCATAATCTAGAAGGTGCACTGAAAGACGTTTTCGGCAGTGATGTGGGCATCTTGGACTATTCACATGCAACCGCTATCGGCGCGAAAGTGGGAATACCGGTGACCACGGTACAGGAAACAGAACCCTGCCTCTTCACTAATTATAACGGAATGGGACCGCGGCCGCAGGACTCTGGTACTTTATTTCCCGAGCTGCCAGTATGTGAGCGATTTTTGATGAATGAACAGGTTACCGAATTATTCGGTCGCAGGATGGGAAGAAAAGGATTCGTCTGTGGGAGATGTAAGTGACCATCTTCTATTTTCTTCTGTCACAGGTCTTTAGAAAACGGAAAGATGACTTTGAATGCGTGCAAGAGCAATGTGCGGATCTGCAGCACCGTGGTATGTTGGTGTCCAACCCTCTCCAAATTCTGAACAACTCACAGTGTCACAAGGTATTTTCCAGCGAAGCGCATTCAGGGAGTGGGAAGCTTTCAAGACGGAGCTCTGTGGAGGAATAACCCCGTCGACCTCCCTCTATGGGAAATACCCGTGGTGTGGCCACCGATTCGAAAACCAAATGTTGTCATCTCCCTTGGCACCGGGTCCTCAGGACCACACCTACCAACGTCGCACTCTAGCAGACTGCGTGCAATCTGGAGAGAGGGCTTCCTGTCACGATCCTATAGAGCCTTTTTGGAATTACTCAACGGCCAAAAAATCGCCCAAGCGTTCAAGAATGGACGTCGTACTGAATTAGATGGGCGATACTTTCGATTCAACGTTAAACTGGACAAGGAGGTCGACTTAGATGATACAGTCAAAATGCGCGAGCTGGCAAAAAATGCCAGGGAGCAGTTCTGTCGGTCGGTGGATGTCGACGTTGTCGCGCGTTGTCTCGTTGCGACGCGTTTCTACTTTGAACTCGAGTCGAAGCCGAGGAGAATGAAGGGCAAGTATTCTGGATCCGGCTATATTTTCTGTCGGTTGTCTCGGAAGAGTCCCGGGTTTGGTGAGCTGCTAGGACAGCTGTCCAAACGGGCGGCGAAATTTATAGTGGATGGTCATTGGACCTCTGAATCGATCGACGATCGTTCATTCTTCGACCACGCGGGACACTTTCGCAGAAGAGTCGAATTTGAAACAAAAGACACATTGTCCGTTCTCCTTCAAGAAGGGTCATCGCATCCTCAGCATATCAGTGGATCTCCATACGCAGTGCGTGATCTTATGGACATGCAAGGTCTCAACTGTGATTTTGGCACTCCTGATCATAGGAAGCGAAAAGAGCGTGAGGAGAACGAAGGCGAGGGACAGGCCAGGAAACGTCGTCGAGTACGGTAATATGCCATGAAGGCTCCTAGAGCATCCTCGTTTGGGACAGACTGGAGCTTTTCGTGAGCTGGCGCAGTCCTCGAGTCAAATATACAGACTCGTGCAAGCCTGCAGCGCCTGCTGCGGAAGACGTATAAGGAATGGAGACTGCTGTCCTTAGTCAACCTGAGTATCAATTAGGGTCAGAAATCTGGAAAGTGAGAAGTAACTGCACCTTCTCGGACTATTATGTTATTCGCGTGATGATGGGGAAAGTATGATACTATTGTCGCGCTCTCGACAAGACTGCTACTTTGGGACATGAATAGAGTCTTCCTGCTGATATCTCCAATGCCAGTGTGTCCCGAACAGCTTATACAAAACCCGAGCTTGCTGCTTCTCCTTGAGAGAACCGATCTTTTCTATCTTTTCAAGAAATCGTATAGCTAGACTATGAGCCCGATTGTGATGCCAAATGGTCCCCATTATTTCGCCGAAGTAATCATGTATCTCCCGTTTTCGACTGCCAGTCGCTTTACGCTCTGACCGGCTGGGGGCTAAAATAATGTTCTTTGAATCAACATGGTCTATATCCCTCTGCAAACCTGCGAGATCAGATTGCAAGACGATGGCGATATTGACCAAAGTTTTCAAATGGTCCAACAAGAAGTCAGAGGTCTTCAATGGAATGTGTGCTGTGTCCAATCCCAAAATCGCAAAGCATGGTTCGAGGCCGATGGTTTTGCAACGTATAACCAGGTAATCCTTTAAAATGTAAGAACTGGCGGAACTGAAAAGATGTTCCTCTATGTATGCCATGATTACCTCACGGATGCGTCGAAATACAACCCTGACAATCTCCAGTGGGAGCAGCGAGATCATAAAATCTCTCAGCATGGCGCTTTGGCTCCATACATCTCCGGCGTGGGAGGACATTTGGCCATCCTCCAGAATTGGACCGTTCTCATGGAATATCTTCAAAATCTCGAAGAGCCCGTAGAGGGTGCTATTTTCGGTTGCTGTTCTCAATCTAGAGGTAAATGCTAGACTGTACGAGAGCCAGTATGCCATCGCAACTATCGAGTTCCAGCTTGAGACGCTAGGGAAGAGCTTCTGGACGATATGAGGCGTTTTGGATATGCGAATTCTCTCTTCTTCTGGAAAAGCGCGAAGAAACTCATCGTGTGCCGCGATAAAGACTTTGGGATAAGGATTATCTTGTGCCGTGAATATAGGCACAGTAACCAAGGAAGCATAACATGAGAATTGATTCGGCTTGTAGTTGCTAGTAGCTTCCATTTTCGCGCTGTACAGAATGTATCCTGCAGTACCTATTGTAGCATTTGAATGACGTGTGTACGCTAGATATATATCTACACAATGTAAAAGCGGCGTGTTACTAAAAGCGAGGTCTCGTGGCCTATTTGCACACTGACGCTATGGTGGAAATGGCTCCTCCATGAGATACGAAAGAAATCCGCTACCGAACTAAACGACAATGTGCCACACTAGTTGTTTAAAAAGAAGGAAGAATTGGAAGATGCGTTTAGGGTACGGAGGGTGTCAACTCTAGGGACCAACAGAACCACCCGGTTAGAATCAGATTACTCCAGTCTTCACACGAGCTTCAAGATGCAGTACAGTACTGAACAGCTTCTCCCGAATCTGCCTTCTCCACCTGAAACACATTGCGACTTACTCTCGCAAAATGTCGAAAAATATAGGCAGGCTATGCTATCCCTTTCTGACATTGGTCTTGTCGCTAGGGAGGGTGCGACTAGGACTGCGTTCTGTCTGTTGTACTCGTACTAGAGAAGTCGTTTTCACAATACTGTACCCTATAAATTCTGTCCAAGTCTAGAGTTGTTGAGATCATTTTCCACTATCATTATCTTGAATCCGTGTCTACAAATGCCTGGTTCACGAGCCAGAGATAGGATGGACAATCTGCATTTTCTACAAAGTATCAATCCTTATCACTAGTGAGGTTATTCGCACTGATTAGAGTATAGTGAACTTTGTGGCCGAGAAAAAGGTCAACACGACCATACTGGGGCAGAATGTTTTGGATGAGCAAGCCCAACATCTGAGATCAATGCGGTTGGCGGAAGCCCGATTGAAGTTGATGGTTCGAAATGGCGGACCTCGAAAAGCACTCCAAGAAACTCGCGAGATGATTGCTCTTTTGGAGGGAGATTGCTGCTTTGCCAAAATTTGACTACAAGATCATTACAGATCAGTTCGTCCACTACCTAATTGAAGCTATCGACGTACTTAAGGAGACAGTCGACAGCCTCAGCCACGTGCGACCGCTGCAATTCTTCAATGATAACTCGCAAGCAGTTAACGAGATGACGCACAGAGTGACGTAAAAGTGGACCGCTAGCTATTAACGCAATCATACCCGCTGTTAAAACGGTCAACAGAGAGGCAATCTTTGGCTTGACCGATGGCCGAGGCGACAGCGGCTCGTGGTTGTAGCTAAGATCATCAGCTTGGTAGTATTCCATTTTCTGACCCTTTCTTTGATGTCATCATCAATCTTTCTCAGATTCTAGCAACGAATGCGAGACGGGTTCGAAGACACCTGTATAAGTATGCAGGAAGCCTCAAGAACCGCTAGCCATATATAACAATTAGCGTAGGCTAAAAATAGCCGCCGCTCGAATGATTAGGCACCTACGGGGACTGGTTCATAACGCGATGAAACAGTGAAACAATGGAATATTAAGCTTCTAGGATCCTACAAAAATTCCACAGACCAAGGCAATCGTGGGATGCTAATGGAGTTTGCTGAGAAGAAGCAATAGATATAGTTTGCTTCTGCGCCCTCTCTATTGCTCGACGAATTCTCTGAGTGAGGTGAATACAAAAGAGAAACTTGTTTATTGGATAGCTTCGAACCACATACCGTAGCGAATTGGGTATTTACAAGGAAGATGTGAAACTATAAGTAATCAAAGAACAGTTCTAGATAGTACAGCTAGGAGATGCATTTCAGGTTACTGACATGAAGGGGAAGCTAAGATCGCGCAGAGATATATCCACATTCGTGCGTCCGGATCCGCCTCATGGTAAGTATTTAATACATCACTATGGAAGCATAACTCTGCGTTTTGAATTCCATCGTGATCAGTCCGCCAACAATTACTTTCAAAGTCTTATTCATGACAGTACCTCTCCCCCCATCGAAATTTAAGATGTCAGTATTGAGCTTTGTGAAGTCTGTTCGAAACACGCCTCGTGAAGTATGTAGACGTTCACGCAGACCAGTCTGTCTCAACATCAGGGCTTCCAAGGCATTTTTAATCAGCGCCTGCACACTGGCAATCTTTACAGACTGCTTTCTTTATGGGATAGTAAGATCTCATGCGCAGGCGAATTGGACTAAACCTTACTTACATTACACTGTTTTAGGTTGTGCCGATTTTTCCCTTCATCCTGACACAACGTGCTGGTATTGCCCCTCATGATGGTAAGATCCCAGAAGAAGAAGCTTCAAGGGAAAGCTAATCTAACCTATATGAATAGTAGGAATCTGGACTTCAATCCTCTTAGCTTGTTATTCCGGTGCCTGGCTTCTTGTATCACCATTAGCAGGATGGGTGACGAACTATTTTAGTTCACGCCGTACGACATTCATCTTGGGACTCCTCGCACTAGGATCCGCAACCATCCTTCTTTCTGTCGGTTCGTCTATTGAGGTACTGGTAATTGGTCGAATTTTGCAGGGGATATCAAGTGCTTTTACGTGGACTGCAGGAATTACCTTAGCCATCGAGAGCGTCAAAGAAGACGAGGTGGGAAAGACCACTGGGATCTGCAGTTTGGGGATGACGCTCGCACTTTTTCTCGCTCCTATCATTGGGGGTCTGTTGTTCGATCAAGGCGGATATTTATCGGTGTTTGGCCTTGCGTTCGGCCTCCTCGCGCTCGACGTGATTTGGCGGGTTGCCGTGATCGAACCTGGGACGGCAGCGCTCTGGTTTCAACTTCAAAATCACAAATACTGGACCACCAGTTTCGGGGACAATGGCGCTCCCCAGATCATTCCGTCCCCTCTTCGAATTGACTCTGATATTGAGATGCTCTCGTCCGAAAATGATGCACATATGGTCTACTCCAAAGTCAAAAGTCTCGTCCAAGAAAAGAGAAGGTCGACTTCATTGGGCCCTAGTTCAACACTACAACTATTACGAAGTCGACGTCTTCAAGTTGCCCTAGGGGCGACCTTTGTGGCCACCACGCTGATCGCCTGCTTAGATGCAGTGTTGCCCATATTTGTTCAAGAGACATTTTCTTGGGATGCTCAAGGGGCCGGACTGATTTTCATTCCGGTAGTCTTGCCAACCTTCTTGTCGCCGTACGCAGGAGTATTGACTGACAAATACGGCCCGAAGTGGATTGTGGGATCGGCATTTATCCTGGAATGTCCTGTTTGGGTACTGATGAGACTGGTCTCACGCGCCGGCGTAGTTCACGTCGTTCTATTATCCGCCTTACTTACGCTGCTGGGTGTGGCGTCTACGCTTGCAGGATCACCACTCATGGCAGAAATCACATTCGCGATACAACACCACAACCGTGAACAATCAGGAAGTTCGAAGTCACGAAATGCTACAGCTCAAGCCTATGCACTCTACTCTTTGTCTCTCGCTGGTGGACTACTAGCAGGTCCACTGTGGGGTGGGGTTATCACCAGGGTTTCTGGTTGGAAGACACTGACATGGACATTTGGGCTCTTCAGTGGCCTGACTATTGTACCTACAGTCTATTTTACAGGCGGTAGATTCAGTTTGCGAGAACCAGGGACGGAGCTAGGCTCGATTGGCCCGAAAAGACGACAATGAGGTTCTGATATGCGCTCCTGGGGCCCGAGTGGGAAATCCGAATGTAAATGGCTTACGGAGACGTATAATGAGTTATCTGGCCTCCAGAGTATTTGTCGTCGGAACAAATCAATTGAGTATCTACAATATTATAATTCTTCTCTATGGTCTACAAAATCCAATATCTCGAGCGACTAATCTTACACGCTAAATAGAGCTAGGGAGAAGTCTCAGACGGGCTTAGAGCAAAACAAATTCGTTAGGATAAGTATCAAGTGTAGTTTATATCAAGTGATCGCCCTAAGCGGGAGATGATTGCCCACACGCAAGGCCGTGTGCGGAAGATAGATTCAGAGGCAAAAGATTTGAAATTGAGAATCTTTTCAAAGTTAGACACATAATGAGTATATCTAAGGCGGACGACGGGTTCCCACCTCCACGTGGTGTCCGCTAAGAACTCTCAGAAACAGTCTAACTGTCTCTAAGTTCCAGAAGGAGCTGAACAACACGATACATCTCTCATAAATAACGCGTTAAAGTCTTAAAAATCACTCTTCACATCTTACAAAACACTTAATAGACTATTAATTAAGAAGTATTAATAAGTAAGTCTCGCACACTATATATACTTTCTATATTGTTTATCTACACTTTATCTAGCGCACTCCTCACTACTAACTATCGCACTAAGGTTAACTAAGCGCTTAATAGAGCTTCTTAGTGACAGTAATTTAGGTAACTAAGCAAAACGCGAATTAAATAAATGTTATAGATTAAGTTCTATTAGTCGCGTTCATAGTACAACTATACACTAACGCAGATAAGTTGTTTATTAATAAACAGAAATATAGAAGAGTTTGAGAAGACTTCGATATGTACGTAAATACAGCATAGATATTATGATTGTTTAGTAGAGGTATCCTACTCATAGTCGAACGCTGCATAGCTGACACTTAATTAGCGGCTAGAACAGTCTATGATGTAATTAATTAATTGTGGTTTCTATTAGGAACGGGATAAAGTGTAGCTAAGATGGCGTACTGTATCAGACTAAGTTTTGTGGCCAACATGTTACGGGCGATAGCTGTACCACAGTATGTCTCGTCTAAAGTTCTGATCCGATACTCGATTCAAATATCTTCTCCTTGCTCCTTTACAATCAACGAAATGGTTTCCCAGCGTTTTTTGTCCTCGTAGATTACACCATTAATCTACTAGAGCCCTTGGGCAGGTCAGGAATGGCGAATCAGCATAGAAACGAAACGCATCCGTCAGAGACTGAAAGTATATTAGCGTCACCGAACTGAATCCGGCGTTGCTGACCTGTCTAATCTAAAGCTCCAAGAATCCAGAGTTGCTCGATTCCCCCATCGTTGCCATGTATCTTCGATGATCATAAAAATAAGGGGCAACAGTGTCATAGCTTTGTGGACCTAGAGAGGGTCTTTGGCCTTGAAAGCGTTCCAAAACAGTATTTTCAATCACTAGCTGAGGTTCTGGACAGTAGCCTAAGAGCAACGCCACGTAAGACCCTCATTGTTCGCATTAGGAAGCTGTCTTCACGGACTAATATAATTTCAGAGCACTTAGTTGCGAAGAAGGACGTCCTTTGTGAAACTGACCAGGACTTCACCGTGGGGGTGGCCCAAGAGAGGCGAATGGTGAAAGCCAGCCAGCCTCGTGTAATTCAAATTCCTAAGAAAAAATCTACAAGTGTGTCACAATACTGTAACTCCTTCACAGAGATGACAAGTTCAACCTGATAATACTCTTTCTCGAAAGGACATGAAGAAACTTCAGGAATGAAACGAAAAGTTTTCTCATTAAGGTCCTCGCCCTTCTGGCTCTAAAGTATAACAAGCGACATTATCTGTGGTGCTATGCAGGACTGCTGTAACGAAAGTCAAATAGAAGGTGGGCAATTCTGGGAGCATACTGTACCGTACAACATGTTTCAGAGGACGAACGTTCTGGGCAATCAACGTCCTTTTCTCGATCAATTTTGGGCCTAGGGAGATGTATTTTCAAGAAAGGGGATTGGAGAACATGACGTACGCAGCCAATTCTGAAGACCTTCCATGCCGTTCTATTCCCGCCTAAATCGTCAGGTCAGCTGCGACCACGTACAATCGTGGGAAGGTCGCGCAAGAAATCCTATAAATCTAGAAACGCGATTATCCTTGTATAGTATCAAGACACCCCAACGGAGACATGGTAAAGATCAAGGCACAAGCTTTTCAGCAGCGTCATAGCGCCGCAAGTTCAACCATCGAAACGGAAGCGAGGAGGGCATGTGATAGTGTTTCATCACATCGGACACCAAGCCCGGTTTAGAGTCGTGGCATTCCGAGTGCCTTCTAGCACATCGTGAATTGCACGGTCGTCTACAGTATCTGGTGAAGGTTCGCCCGGTTTGGCAGTCCGCTTCCTCTGTTCCCCGAGGCTGAAGCAGAATACTGGAACAAATACCCGATCGAGCAACGCAACATGAATACCAAAGGCAACTTCACAGAAAGTCCGCGTGACCAGAAGACTGAAGCGTTTCTACAAAGAAACTGCATTCTATCGCCACCGCTAGCAGAAGTCGATTCTCCTTGTGAACCTCCTTCTCCTATGGAACCCGCACATGATGATTGCGGCAACTCTTTTGAAGATGTATATACACCAGAAGACGACATGTTCGGAAAATGATAGTGATTCTACCCAGGGAGAAGCGGTAGAGATCCAGAACCCCGATGGTGGGATCAACAGCGAGAATTGAGGTCGTGCTGCAACGTCACGGAACGGAAACCCCGCTGGACGGGAGGCATATACGCTTACAGACTCTTCTTCTCATTTTGCGCAGGTCTTGCAAGTACCCAAACTTTGATCACTAGATCCTTGCATAGATTTATGTTATGATTTTGTCCTACAATGCGAATCAAATTTCCTGTATATTCCAGTGTGGCTGGAATATTCTCTAGACTCTAAGGATCCCGACGCCTTCTGTTCAACTGAGGTCTTCGAACTAGGCAGCAGCAAGGCCCTCTGTAAGCTGCGTATGCTGGCTCATAACGCTATACTCTTGCACAGTTCCCGGAAATATTTTCCAAGCATTTCGCGGTTGTGTTCAAAGCTCACGATCACGTGCTCATAACTACATCAAAGTAGTTATGATCACGTGACTTTCGAAGTGTGCATTTCGGGCAGGGACATGGCTTTTCCCCCCAGTAGCCTCGACCGTAGTTAAAGGTCAGTTCTTGCCCATCGCGGATATCGCTCCGGGCCCGGACCACTAGCTCAAACCTACCAGAAATGACCATTCCCGACACTTCAACCGTGGGCTCACAATCACAATTCATCAGCCGAAAGATGTTCCCTCTATCCTCACTGTTGATAAGTGCTACATGCACGGGCTTTGTCTCATCGAGATCATGCCTCAAAACCTCAATACATCTTCCATTGCGGCATGCCTTCGGAGGCGTAAGAACCCCCGTGAATTTTCCGAGAAGATCCCCTTTCTTGTAGGCGACCTGACCTGCGTCCCTGGCAACAGCTTGCAACCCTCGGCCTTTGCCCTCGTACATCCGAATTCGCGGCGGTGTTTCGAGACTAATGTTGGTACATCCACATTGACTTTCGTTACACAGTTCACACTGTGTTCTGGCAGACGGAGACACCGAAGTCGGGTCGTCGCACGGCCAATATACGTCGGTGGGCCAACGGTTAGGCTTCGGCCATTTTGGGTACGCATCTTTGTCATATATGTTCACGTCCGTTGACGGAAACATTCTCAGAGAAGCGAGCAAATCTTTGTCAGAGAGTTTGTCCACGGGTACGCTCGTGTTTTCCCACATATAATCGACGTCATCGGCGGAATGTTCCAGCAGTGATTTCTCCAATAGATTTCCTGCAGTACACAGCGTGGCGATGCGTTCTGGATTGAGTTGGTCTTTCAGGGCGATGAGTTCATCTTTTGACAGAGAAATCCAGTCTTCTGAGGAAAACTGAAAAGAATGGGGTTGAAACAGAAGAAAACCTAGGATACCCGGTAAAACCTCCTGGTACCTTTGCCACCCTCGGCCCCGGTCTCTATGGTGGGAATACTGACGGGAGCTCATTCCTGTGCCGTGGAGAATCTTTTCAATCTTACCTTTAGCAAGTCGATGCCGGCTTCCCATGTACTTCGTTGCATCCTGAGCAAGGCGAGCTTGAAACAAGCGAGTTAGAAATTGATGATACTTTGTCTTGTTCGATGCTTTGTGGAGGGCGTTTAGAATCGAATCCCCACCATCCTTTTGGTTTGTTCGCAACACTGTAGGATCAATTAGGCGGCGACCGCGGATAATCTCTACGAATTGTAGGATTGCGTCTCTGCTGTGTATGGCCTCCACCAAGTGTGAAATAAGGCGCCTGGAAAGATCGCCATGAGCGACTGTTGCAGACGGCGCCACGCAGACCCGCTTTGGCCGCCTTTCTAACAGGGTTGGGTCATTCTGGGACCTTTTTGGCAGGCCACCATCAACCGCAGGCTTTGCCGCGGGCTCCCTGGTGCGCGTAACGGCATGTTGGCGTCTCGATGATGTTATCGGTTGGTTGCTTTGTGCAAGATCTTCCCATTGCTCGCGTTGTGGGGTGTCCGCATCGCGGAACTCGAGCGACGCGTTCGGAATAGGAAAGCCATCGCATTCCGAGCCACATTCAGCATAGCCATTGATGCTCCAATTGGGAGGGGCATAGTTGACGGCTTCAGCGACTTTGGGCCCAGCAGTGCCACCTCCGTGGTAGGCATCTCCCCACACCACCACCACCTCTTTCGGACGTTGGACAAATGAGACAAACGAAGCCCCTATGGCTTCTAGATCCGAATGGCGCATCCAAAGAGACGCGTGGCGTACCTTCTGTGCGCATGTTCCTGTGACTTGATCTTCGATAAGATAGCCGTCACTCGGGGCTACCACGTTCCATAATGTCGCTGAACCGCTGTGCATAGCGTTGAGGGACACCAAAATCCCGTCCTCAATGTGAGTGGCGAAGAACGAGCCGTACTCACTGGCAATATACCCGTATGGCCAGTGGACGCCGGGGGTTTGTTCTCTGGTTCGCTCCAACTGGTTATCCTTCACAGGCCAAATCGGCGACTCCTTAGGCAAGCCAAGGCGACGGCGGTCCTCTGCTGTTCGCGCAGGAATATCTGTACAGTAACGTATTCTACTCATGGTTTCAGGATCCATAAGGCGCTGTTCCAAAATCTCGGCTAGTTTGGCTGGCTCTGCAGGTTGTGCCTCGAGATTACCGGCCTTGAGTGTCTCCATTTGCTCGGTTCTGGATATGCGTTGAAGCCCCTTGGAATCAAAATAAGGAGAGAATCTCGACACCTTCATGATATCATTGCTGACAGCCGGGGTAGCTAAGTCAAGATCATTGGGCAGTCGGTATTTAAAGACTCCTGTTTCACGAGCCCCCAGTTTTTGAGCCTCCGAGAGTAGCAACGGTATGTCACGATATTGAGAGCTGGAGGGAGCGAGAACAACGACACCATCCTCAATGCTGTAAGGAATGAAGCTGGAGAACTGACAAGATCTGGTACCTTTTGCTGCAACGGGAGTATCGACCGGACCTAGAAAGGTTTGTAGTGTCTGACCATCATTAGTAGCCAGAGTGGTGGGAACATGGCCGCTGTTGTTCTGAACTGAATGATGCTCTTCAACCAATTCCGGACGATTCTCCTCAGGAGACGGCTGACTGTTGGATTCGTCGCCATCGTATAGGCCGGGATGTTTTTGAAGCCTTTCCTCAACATTATGAATACTAGTTGAGCATTTGTCCAAGAGAAGTCTTATGGTGGACGCCCACTTCGGTTCCTCCCGAGAAGGTTCGCCACCCCGGAAGTGTTTGGCGTCTTTGCGCCCAGTTCTGGGGAGTCTGATGTGTGATTCAACGGTTGACTTCAGCTCTCCGATCGTCTGCTTTATTACCGCTATTTCTTTGGCAATGCCTGACATTTTTAGAGATTTGAGGGTTGATGGGTTCGAATCGATGCTGAAAAAGGGTTATTTGACTTGTTGACAGCTTGGCGTGCACGGGCCTGTTGCTGGGAAGGTTTATACTCTGGAGGGTTAGCGGAGTTTCATGTGTTAAGTGCCGGCGGCTGCCTGTGATATGCTATTGGTGGTAGCCTGCATGTCTCAAAGGGAGAAATCAGGGCAAATAAAACTCACCTTGGCCGATTACTGCATAGCTAGATTGCCAAAATACATTCTAATTGGTCTTTCTGTGCCGGCCCGTCATCCTGGTGTAGGCGTATCGCCCAAGTTCACATGCCAAGATCGTGCGACTCGGGTTGCGCCTCAGAATCGTGGACGAGCCTAAAAGTCTTGGATATTCCAATACAGTACCATCGGTGTCATAATGTTTAACATCCATTACTATGAGGCGCCCGCTAAGCTCTGCTGCCACGAGTAGCGGTTAGAACTAGCTTAGAAGGTCGCTGAATTGTTTTTGGTGACCTTCCGACTGACCACCTTTCGTACTTGAATACTTATCAGTGCTATACAGTACTGTGGTATGTAGCTAACCTGCATTAGTTTCCACAAGTGACCTGAGCAAGGCCCAGGTGAGGTTTCAGGGCTGCAGCTAGCTCCAGCTACAGGGAGGAGTAAAGGCACTCACCTGCCTTAGGTCGGTTGTTATACAGTGTGGTGAGAGTGTCCGAACTCTAGCTCTCCTCCGTATCATGCAGTATACTGTAGCATGGTGAGACAAGCTAGATCTTGATGTGGCCTCCCGGCTCAGACTCCGCCGCCAGCGAAGGTCGTGACTACCGTTCGACGGGGATGAACTTTACTCCCCGCGACAGTCTACTATAACCTCGGGTGAAACTACAGCACTTTCATTAGCAATCGGGCATGTCAAATGTAGAGAAGTCACTTCCTCACATTCATCAATAGCCCATGGCTTCCAGTGGTCTGAGGTTGGTGTCGTGGCATACCTTCAGAAGTGTTGGTAGACTCTGATGCCACCTAGAATGCAGTATACCAGTACTGTGAGTGCAAAACTGTGCAATATCTCAACGTATGGGCTTTCGAGAGATTGCATCTTGCTCCACAGTATACAAGAAAGAATATGTCTCCTTTTCTTGGGGACACCATCATTCGGCATCTAGAGGCGAGAATACCACGTAAACTAGAAAAGATAGAGCAGCTGATATCATGCCCGAAGCACCACGCGGGTATGCCCTACGACGCAGATGCATGTCCTTGTCAGGCGAAGGAATTTTGGAGGCTCGACCACCTCGACGAATCCGTCCACAAGCTCAGGAATAGGCGCTGCTCAATATGTTGGTGGTACATATGGTATCAAGTATCCTCAACAAAGATTCCGTGGTTTCCCAAAGAAAGCATTGAATGCTGGTCGCAAGTAGGTCAGCCCATTACGGCGTGGCAGAGATTCGGCGTTGCGAAGAGAAACCCCGACGAAAGCACCCGCCATAGAAGAGGATACATCTACTACAAAAATTCGCGGGAGGTACCCACTCGACGGGCTGCAGCCGTCACTACTCCGTGATTGGAATAGGAAGTTTGCAGGTGATCTCTGGCTCACGGCATCGGGGTGTCATTTTCTCCGGGGTGTGAGTGGCTTGGTAAATCTGGAACTTGTTGAACAATAGGTGGTTGGTGGCGCAAGTGTTAGACCTGTATACAGAGAAGCATTCCTGTCTTCATAAGCGCTTCTTGACCTGCGCGACAGCCAGACGACTTCTTTCTAGGCAGGAAACTATGTTGGTCGTGAAGTATCTGGCGGAAACTTCGCGCGGGAGGGTAGTGGCCAGGAACTAAGTTCGCCTACAATAGGAAGCCATGACAAAGTGGAGCCAAGAAATTCCAATAGGAACTCGATCCGTAGCCGCGATCTTCCCGCCCGCCCGTGAAGCAATAACCGCCGACTATAATAAGTATCGTTCTGCTAGCCATACAGTAACACTGGTTCTTGACGCGCTCCAAAATCACGCTTTAAGGATAGTGAGCAAGACTTACCGAACTCTGAAAGCACGCGCTGCCAGCTAGACAACAGATCGATGTGTCATCATTGCTGCTCGAAACTTAACATTATCGCCTTCGATATTGGGTGGATTCATTGTACAGCTTTGAGCAGGCTCTCCAGAGAAGAAGACAACTTCTGTTTGAGAGGTGCTTTGATCCTGGGAAGGAGACGTGTAGCAGTACATCTTCTTAAACTTAATTGGAATGATTTAGTGTGTTGTCTAGCTAGAGTAAAATACCATATTATGGAATGTTACTGTGCTGTATGCTCGATACTATAGCCTCATTTTCGGTTAAGCAAAGTCGGTTATCCACATAGTTCTCCTTCGTTCACTATCCTGCATTGCCGTTTGTAGACTTGGTTAACTGCACACGCATACAAAAATTCTAGATAGCTGCAAGACTGTTTTTTACTCCGAGTGGTCATCCACTATTAGCAGTCCGTGTTCTCCTAGACCATTGAAGCGGCTGGCAAGCACCCGTCCATAGGCTCCAGTATTCATAATCTCGAGATAATCACCCTCTCTGACGTCCTCGGGGAGGAGAAATGGTCCCGGCATGTAGTCCAGGCTATCGCAGGTCGGACCCCAAAAGACAAATTCTCGAATTTCAGCGTCTGAAGTCATCGCACGGAGCAATTTTACTTCAAAACGCCATTTGAGGTTCCCGGCATCATAGAGGATGTGATAACAGCCCGCGTTAATATAAAGCTCTTGACCACGACGCTCCTCTACTCGCACCACTAGCGACTCCGACTTTGCAGATAATGCACGTCCAGGCTCGCAGAGTATCTCCATGTCGGCCTCTTTAAAATATTCCTGGCATGCTTTGATTATCACTTCAAGACATTCAGTCACACTAGGGGCCTCGTTACCAGGGTAGGTCACTCCAAACCCTCCACCCACAGACAAAAATCTGACTTGGACTTCTGCCTGAGTTAGCAGCTGGTGGGCTTCGCGAATGGCGTGGGTGTAGCCACTAGAATCTGTTACTTGGCTACCAACGTGGAAGCAGACACCAATCTTGCGCCCTTCGCGCTTCAGACGTTGTAGTAACCTAATGGCAGGCAAGCCTTCGATTCCGAATTTTGTGTTTAAGTTCAGTTTGGCGTGCCCTGAGCTCACAAGTAGACGAACAAACAACTCCAGATCTTGAGCTTCTTGGTTGTCTTTGAAAGTGGCGCGAACAATCTTCTCGAGCTCGCTCTCGGACTGGAGGGCGAATGCGCGAACATTATAGTCGAAGTACGCACTCCTAATATCCTCTTGCGGCTTTACGGGGTTCATAAAGCACAAGGATGGAGCGCTATGAGATGGTAGACTGTGTAAGATATCTTTGATCTCGAAAATGGAGGCAACTTCGAATCGGTGAATTCCGGTATGCCACAGTGTAGACAGTAGGAGCGCGTTGTCATTGGCCTTAACAGCGTACATTGTCTGAATGGTGTTTACAGAGAGAAATTCCTGAGCTGCAATCACAGATTTCCCCGGTCGACACAGCACAAGAGGACGCACAGGCCTCAGTTTCTCGACAATAGCCAGCGAGTTCAGTCGTATCTTTGGCCCATTTGTGGCCAGAGCCTGCCTAATTGGATTTTTAAATGCATTTCTCGAATCGTAAACGATCAGCTTTTGATAGAAGACAGGGACTTTGTTAGACGCATTCGTTGACTTGATGAACGAGAGAAATTTGTCATTCTTGATTTGTGTCGACTCCTCCTCGCACTCAGTTTTGGCGTGTATGTCTCGACACCGATCCACCTCAGGCGTTGAAACAGTGCTCCTAGAGAGAGATATTATCTGTGCGTGACGATCCAGAGTGCTCGTGCAGGTTTCATAGAGCTTAGTCTTTATATCGTCAATACTTAATTGCGATGTTGGTGCAGTGTCAGCGCCCTCATGTCGAAAAGGTTCATCACTGTGAGGTGCCGCCAAAATTATTGATCTGAAACGCTGAGAGAAATTCCACCACCACTTGCCCAAGAACTTGATGACGTTCATCCAGAGACGATGTCGAGTAGGATGGCAAACTCGCAACAAAATTGTCAGACCGAAACAGAGAAGGGAGATCACAATGCTGTAGTATATCTGCCGCAGGTTACCCATGTTTCCTGCCACGATTAAGATGGTACCGGTGGTATTATGATGAATAAGTAACGCTGGATCTGTGCCAACGCTTGCAGAGCTTCAATAGTACCTGCCCAGAGTTAGAGATAAATCACCTGACTAGGGAACGAGACAAAACGTCACAGAAGAGTGATGGACTTTATCATAATTATCCCTGCCTGTCCCCAGGAGCCGAGACGATGATCGTAACGAAATAGGATGTGGTCATCCGACACGACAAAGCAAAGCTTATAGTAGAGACACTAACACATCTGATCGCTCATAGTAAAAATAACTTTATTATACCACACTAACCACATTTCTAGTATAGAAATATTTTTGTAAGAATAACTATCCTGAAGAAAAATGTGAATCATAATATTTCAGGAAAATTAGATGGTGTACTGTAGAAAGGCTCACCATTATGATTCATATAGTATAGTGTAGTACTACATAGCAGCCGATCTGAACACTGGAGATTTGACAATCTTCGATACTGAATTTTGAGTTTCTCCCTCCTTGTACCTTCACCAGAAGCCTTAATCTATAATGATTCTAAGAACGATTAAACGCAGAATTCTTCATACACTGCTTTCGCGAGGAGAAGAATGGTGTTGCAGCCAGTATCGCCAATATTTTGTAGAATAGATCGAACCTGGGTACTACGCGTCGATAAAAATTCCTACTTCAAGGGCTACAGCCTTGTCCGTCGGGATAGCAGTGCACCTCACGGTGTACTGCGCCAATTACTCTTTTCATCCATCCTCTAATATACAGTATACAAAGGCGTTTTCAATTTCTAAAGGCAGTTATGATGATATATATATATATATACTGAAGTTGATCAAGTTGTGGTGTGTTGGGCGAGAAGGGAAGTGATACACTCGATTGCTTCGTTCTGATTAGATGTCGTCTACGAACAAAGATCACGTGACATGGTCTTCTCTTAGTCGGGCCGTCTCATCACCTTGTTTCGTAGATCTGAGAAAAAAAAGCACAATAAGGTACAATTATGAAAGCCTTTCTGCCCATATAGGTTTCTGTATACCGAATAGAGCACATTAACTTTAATCTTCTACCCCCTGCTAAGGTAGACTTCTCCGGTTCCAATTCAGCCGAAGAGAGACCGGCGAGCTCTGACGACCCCAAAACGGTCCCTCGGGAGAAGACAATCTCTAGTTCTCCAGTCTAAATGATCCTTTTTACGTCTTCTGATTTGGTAACGCCATATCCTTATGAGTAGGATAATAATTGAAAGCATGGTTGCTATGGTGTACTTGGGAGAAAAATCCGGGAGGTATGTGTCGTATTTCATACCATAGCCAAGAATGGTTGTGAGAAGAGGTTAAGCTTTAATGGGCTCGAATTTCTTGTTTCTTATTTTGAACTGAGCACATACGGATCTCATGAGGTTTTTTATACATTTTGCTAAACGATTGTAACTCCCGAAGTAACTTGACTGATATTGATGTGAGTTGAGATTCGTATGCTCTAAATCCAACAAACCGAATTTATTACCGAATAGATGCTAATTGTAATAAATCTTATATCGAGATCCCAGTTATCGGCACCTCGTTAGATGTGTTTAAATGTCTGAAGCTATAGAGCATCTCAAAGTCCAGTGTATAAATTAAACTGAGTTACTGCCTCTACTATAATCTTGGCTGCGGAAACCTTTTAACCTATTATAAACCCGATATAACCTTTTCGTGACACAGTGCGACACAGATCCATATAGTCCTCGAGACTTCCAAACCAAAACAGAGGCTCGTGTTTTTGACCAGGCTTGTTTGACATATACCATGTCTTTGTGCGTGATATTAGCGTCTGCTCAGCTCTATTGCCAAGCCGCTCCTTGTATTCTGCTTCTGCCTGTTCAATTGTATCACACATCCATCCGTGTTGACAAACATGCTGAAGGAAGTCCCCAATCCATTCAACTTGAGACTCGGCAACTTTGGGTGCCACTGAGAAAGCGGCCGGTGTTTGCGGTCCACAAATGAAGAGTAAATTTGGGAATCCAGCGCACGTCAATCCGAGATAAGTCATCACACCTTGAGGTTTCGGCTGCGTAGCCTTAATCAGTGTCTCCTGAGCACCCCATTTCTCTCTTAAGCTGAGTCCATTCTTGCCTTGTATATCAATAGCGAGCAAACTCCCTGTACCAAAGTGGTAGCCGGTAGCGAGGACAATTATATCGAGATGGTAGAACTTTCCTGACTTCATATGGATCCCTGTAGTGCCGATCTCGAAGATCTCGTCGTCATTGAGATCAACCAAGTCCACATTACTTTGGTTGAAAATCTCGAAGTATTTCGATTCAAGCGCCGGCCGTTTTGCCCCAAAGGGGTGTGGAGCGCAAATTGGTGCGAGCAAATCACATTTATACTGATCTTGAACCTTTTGTCGCGTCTTGTTTCGCCAAAATATGTAGGCCTCGTTGTTGGCGTTTTCGTTAATGAATAGGTCACGATAATTTTCCCAGCAGAATTGCTGCCCCTTGCAGAGCTTTTCTCTCTTTCGGACCCAAGTCTGATAATGTTTATCGCAATCTGTCGTGGGGCAGATGAGAAAACCCCCGGGACTTTCAGCACAGTTATTCACGCTGGTAGCTAGAAAGTCGTGCGTAGTAGTAGCTTGAGAGTGCTGACTCAAATTACTGGCCTCTGAATGGTCTGAAGCTGGGCGCGGTATCGCATAGTTTGGACTTCGCTGGAAGACAGTGAGACTAGCCACATCTGGAGCTAATGTCTCTATGATTTGAACACCGCTCGAACCAGTGCCGATAACACCGACGCGTTTTCCATCAGTGTTGAGCCCAAGAGGCCATTCGGAGGTATGAAAGGCTTGCGGGAACGTCGTCAACCCTGGAATATCGGGAATGTATCTTTGGCCGGTATAACCCGTGCAAGGAATAAAGAAGCTGGCGGTGACAAATTTTTTTTCTGCACCGTCGTGGCTAGAGTAGATTTCCCATTGTTTGCCCTTCGCGTGCCAGACTGCTTTACTAATGTGAGTGTTGAACCTGATGTTTTCTCTCAACTCCAAGATCTCAGATATATGCCGAACATAGGCTGCGATCTCCTCGCGCTGAGGAAACTGCTCCTTCCATGCCCACACGTTCTTCAAGGAGAACTGATATGCAGAAGAATCCTATACTCATTATAAGAAGAAAGGTCAGCCAATAATTATTACCCAAAGAACATATATATGACAATGCTGTTGATTATAACATGCAGTTTGGAAGAGTCTTACAGTATCGTTACGACATCCAGGATATCTCGTAGATTGCCAGATGCCGCCCACATCGGATAGAGCCTCCACGCATAAGCAATTGAAACCGATTTCCCGTAGCTTATAGAGCGCCCACAAGCCACTGAACCCAGCACCAATGATAACAATGTCAACTTTCATCATGACAGAATACATGCTAAAGGAGAGGGGCTCTAAAGAACTATTCTGGAAGTGCAGCAAGCCTGTAATATATGTTTTTGGCCGTAAGCGCTCTATCAGGATCGGCCAATCAACCAAGCCGTTGCTAACCAAATTCAGTTGCGAATAGCAAAGCACAAATAGGTAGTAGGGTAAGCAGAATGAATTTCCAGTTGAGCTACAGAATCACGAGGAAACGTCAGCTCAAGCACAGCAACAAGAGATTTTAGAGTCTCCTAAGCTACATCTGCGAAGTTGGCGAATGGGGTGCCAGAATATTCTGCTGCAGATGTTCGACTTGCGACTATTTTATGCTATATTCCCCGGCTTGTAGCCCTGTATTATCCACCGTGCTATCTCAACACATCGTGCAAATATACATAAGTCTACGTTGCCGATCTAGCACTTTGGTCTGGGAATTCGCCGCTGCCTCGTCGTAAAAGCCTTTCTGAGCGTAATGTGCCTAGTTGCTGTCATCCTTAGATGCATATTGTCAGGGTCTTCGGAACGCTAAAAGTACCGGCACGTGGTAAGCTCATGTTCACACAATAGCGACGCAAGTTCTCCTTTCGACCAAACGACCTATAGCTCTATGATGTAACTAATAATCTCATCGATAACTTTTACATCGGGTGGTTCGTCCTGAGAAATCTTGGCCAGCTCCCTAGCAACTATCGGTAGGCATTCCCATAGGTTAGGGTTTCTTTCTTTGACAAAGCCAACAATGATCGAGATTTCCGTAGCTTGCAATTTTCGATACCTGAATCGTCAGCCAAATTTTCAGATAAAGGCAGTGCTAGGACACTAACATCCGTGGCGATATGTTGAAATTGGGGTCGATCGGACAAGGCATATCTCGCGCAGGCAGCAGCGCCCACAATGGATATCTCTCTCCGCAAGCACTCTCATACCGAATTATCACGTCTCCCCGAGTCTTGATCTCTTGTAGATATCTCCTACAGATAGTAGGGTCCCTGGATGGCATCACAGCTTGGTCACAGCCCTCGAGAATCATGTTGTAAGCCTGAGTTTTCGTGTTTTCACCTTTCCTGCCTGTGGAAATTTTTTCAGTGATGCAGCGCATACTCTCATTCAACTGTTGCCGGATTTTCTTCTTCCTTCGTGATTTGGCAGTTTTCACCTGCATTGCTTTTTGTCGTTTGAGTTCTGCCACAAGAGAGTTGAAACGGCGAGCAATATAGAGTGACGAGAAGTCCTTCTGTAATGCCCCGAGATACATATTAGCGCCACCTCGTTCGAACAATCTCACCATTGACCCAGGCTCAAAGTTACTTCGAGCTTTTCTCGTCTCTTCATTAAACACCAACCTTGCCATTTTAGCAAAGTCTTGAAGCACAGTCGTGCTACCGATTGCAGACGCAAGACAAACCAATAGTTTCTCATTTGGCATCGTCGACTTGATTGTTCCAATATCACAATGTTCGCCGTCTGGAATCAGAATTTGTCTGTTCTGCGGCAGAATGTGATCCAAAAGGCACCTCAGATACCTGATCCTCAGACGGCAAGGATCTGGATGGTACTCTGCTTCAGCGTTCAAAATAGATTCGACTTCGAATAACAAAGTGACTTCAGAGTCTCTTCTATTGTCGCCTTGCGTCTGTGGATACTTAAGAGTTGAGCTCGAATAGCAGGTTTCAGACTTACGGATTTATACGTCAAGCTCCACCGTCCTGGATCTTTGTCAGAGAAGGAGAGGAAAGTGAGATTGTCGGCACTTTCCTTATCGTCGTGAATGAAAATCGATCGTAATTGCAGGTTTACGCTGATAAGGAACCAGTGCTCATGCTTCTGCACAGGAATCAGGATTATGGCATCCAGATTCCATTCAGATGGCTCTCCTGCGCTATATTTCTCAACGGCAAGTTGAAAGGTCTGTAGATCAGTTACAAATATGTTCTCCTTCTCGTACGTTAGTGCAAGCATGGTTTCGATCACGGCATATCTGTCCAATCCCCTGGATGAACCAAAGGTAGTCAGCACTTTTTCCGCATCAGGCTCGTTTCCAGACAACCAGGAGATTTCCTCAGAGCGCCTAAGGCCCAAGGATACGAGTTCTCCAAGCTCTCGAGAAGCTTCGGACAACGGTACCCCTGATGTTTCTGAGACAATTGGCTCATCATCAGTCTCTTGGACGCTCTCAAAGTCCGTTCCTGGAGGAGAAATGCTCCCCATCAAACTCAGAGACCTCTCTGGAGATGTAAAGAGATTCCCAGCAAGGCCAATATCATGCGTTATCGAAGTAACCCCGGCTTCAGATCTGATTTGTTTATCGTCAAGGCCACTTCCAAAATGGTTTATTGGGGATTGATGAGTATCCGACACATTCTGGTGGCCTTGGGCCCCAATATCTGTTAAGTAGCCATGACCCGAGCCTCCGAGCCCATTCATGATAGGAGGAGCCAACAGTTGATCCGTAGGGGGAGTGTTGATGGGCTCACCCACTGTGGTGGCAAGAGAATCTCGGGAATCCCTAACAAGAGAGCCTTCAGAGTCGCTTCGGCAGTCCTGTAAACTAGAATGGACGGTTGTACCTGCGTCGCCAAACACCTGCTCCAGGTCATCCTCATCGAATAGTCCATCGAATGCCCCAGCAAGAAGAAGTGCAATTTGGTCAGGCATAACGTTTGGTGATGGCGGTTCCTCTCCATCCACAGACATGCTTCGCTCAAACGCGATGCTCTCTCCGTAGAGACCCTCGCAGCAACCAGCAGAGGCTAAGGAGACCTCTGTTGAAGCCCAACTATCAATCACGTTGCACTCTCTGAATTCCGGATTATTCTCTGGCAGAGATCTCAACAAACACTGGTGGCAAGACGTCTGAGATAGTGGAGGGTGCAACCAGTCTTTCTCACAACTGGTCAGACTTTCCTCCAAGCTGGGTCCAGTGGTCCATTTCATGCTGTAAACCCCATAGTCAGTTTTGACCACCTCTCCAGGAGATTGCGTGAAGATTTTGTAATCTATTCCCCAGTCAATCAACTTCGAGATGGGTATAATCCATTCGTCGTGGCAGCCGAACTGGTTGCAAGTAGGTAGCTGCTGTATCTCATGTGCAATGCGAGCCTCCAATTTGTGGGAATGCCGAGGAGAAACAATCAACCATACTATGGAATGGCCATACCACAAGACATTGATGGATTGCAGGTTCATTATTTTTCTCTGCAAGCAGGTGAATGTTTCGGTAATGCTCAAAATTGCCTTCTGGTGAACAGAAAGTACTTCTCCAGGTAGTCCCAAAGCCGCTCGTCGGTCGGAGCTGTTTGTCAGATAGACGACATACTGCAGCCCATCTCCATTGTCCGTGAGATTCCTAATAAAGGCGTTTTCCAAGGCCTTGGAGAGCGCTGCATGATTTAGTGGTACTTCGGTATTCTCAACTGATGAAAATGCCATAAATGGAGAATATGATGAAACTTTCTGCTTGCCAGCTCTCATAATATTGTCGGCTTTGCAGATCGTCTGTCTGTACAGTTCTCCTGGTTCCACCTTACCCTGCTGAGGAGACCATTCCGGAACATCCTCGAGTCGAGTAATGCGGAAACCTTGAGCAACTTCGTCTGAGCTCCATGGATCCAAGGTCCCAACACTTTCTGGTGAGATTCCCATCGGTGGCTCGGTATGTGATATGATAGTCTACGGAGGAGTAGTCTTGCACGTGATTGGTTGGCACGTGACAGGGCCACTGCCAGGACAACAGAAATTTGTAGAACTGGGACAGCAAAGACTCCGGTGGGAAGATTGGAGATTCCAAGCAGATACTGTGACATCTAGAGAAATTAAGTAGATGACGAAAAGCTTGACCCTAGCGATGTCCATTTCAGCACTCAAGAATGTGAGGAAATGGGTACCCCTGCTTTCCATAGATAGAAGAACTGATCATTAGATATCCTGAAACTTCGTCCAGTACGAATACTTTATGCCAGGGTGCCCTTCTATGCAGACAGGGGTACTGGTTGCTTTGTCTTGTACCAGCATAGAGATATTGCTCGAAAGACATTCTGAGATATTGTAGCTGGGCTATCCGATAGGAAGAATGAAGTAGATGATGTTCGGCTACTGGCGAGGTTGATCCTAAAGTGCGATCTTAGTTTCAGTAGGACGAACTAAAGCTCTGGGACTATAAAGGCCGGTAGATCCGTTCACGCGAAATGCAAGTCACGCTTCACGCCAGACTCATGTGATAAATTTCAGCGGTTGAAAGCACCTTAAGAACCCCTCACGAGAAAGGCAGAAGTGGATAGCTCGTGAGGTTCTCTCCACAATCATAGGTCAGACGCCGCTGAAGGACTACAGGGGGTAGCAAAAACGGACGCACCCCTTTCCCCACCTTTCGCTATTCGCACTCTTTATGAATAATTTCTCTTCTATAGGGGTGTGTATAGTTATCGAGCAGTGGCATTAAACTACAGAGGTGATATCGATTCATAAGAGGATGCGATCGTAGCGTCGTCAATACGTGAGATAATGCAGAATTGTACGGATGACAGCGGGGGATGTGCCGGTCCGTTCATGCTACCCGCTCGTAACATCAGAAGTACATGGACCGGGAATGTCATGCATCCGCGTAGAAGTAGCTCCTTCCCTATTGGGCATAGCCCGCCTAAGATGAAAATCCAACTGTCCATCCACCAGGAGTATAGCTGAGACATATTTATCCTAGTAGCCATTAGCTTTGTATTCGGCAAATTTGAGGTACCTAGCCTACTAAGTTTGACTTAACTTAGCTTAAGAACCTAGCGTATTCAAAGTCACCCATGCGGACACGGTCACTAACACAATACAGTAGCAGCGTTACAGCAGCCTTAAGCCGAGTTCCCCGGCAGACCGTTGCTGCAGGCTAAGCTTCTCCCTGTCCAAATCTGGCACTTATGCTATACAACGTAACCACTCGGAGCTTGGTCTGAAAGGTCCACGAGCTCGAGAAACCTCCTGTGCGACAGCGTTCGCGCGTGCCAAAGTGTAAATCATGCCATTCCAATTCCATTGATATTGTAAAAATCGTACTTCCCCATCTTCGATCCTAAATATAATATGAGAATCATTGTAGATTAACAAAATTTACAGAGCAACACTAAACAGATATTGCTTGAAGTGATATGGCTTTCCACGATCGAGGATTTGCCTCGACTGGAACACAATCTGCAGTAAGTCCAAGACAGCAGGACTCCATACCGGAATCTTACGAGATCATACAGTTTAGCACTCATCCAAAGCCTTCACCTGGTACTGCCATGCCCGAGAATGACTTCCAGAAAGACCTCGACGCTTTCCGGCATACCGTCTCAGCCGCTTGCACGTCTCTCCTGGCCAAACATAATGACAGACATATTTATGGGTCCAATACTCTGGAAGCGTACCAGATGTTGCAAGGTCAACATCTAGATCTGCAGGACACTGTTAGAAAACTAATGGAACACCAAAAGGACCTCGAGCGACAGCTAGAGCAAAGTGGACAGCTAATATGCCATCTTCAGCAGAGACTTGACCAACTCTGCATTGGGGCATCTTCGCCGCAGCCTGATTCCATAGAGGAAAATGAGAATGCTCATTTGCGATTACGGATCTTGGAGCTTGAATCAGATTTGGAAGTGTGGAAAGATCGCTGTCGGACGGCTCAAATCTCCGGCCAAGCGGCGGTCAGTGCTTATGAAATGAGGCGTGTTAAAAAAGAATACGAGGATGGTGATATAAAGACGAGCCCTACTCTTAAGGCGTCAGACTCAAGTATATCACTCCTGCTACTGGATAACGACTGCTCTCCGGAAGTCCAAAAGAAAAAGAAGGACAAGAGGAGACGCAATATGTCTTAATCTAATTGACTTCATTGAGAGACCGAGGAATCGAAACCCGCAGTTAATGTTACCTACAGATCAGATATCTAACAGACAAACAGCAATTTTATTCGTGAGTAGGGTCTAGGAGTATGTAGGCCTATATTACTCCTTGGAGTTTTCGCAATACCTTGAAGTGTGCCATTCGCTCACACTATGTTGAAAAAAGATCTTGTACTCAAAAGGTTCTGAATGTGTAGCATTTAACGCCATTCATTTGAAGTCCTAACTTCTGGATTCGTAACTCAAGTGGACTCCTCCTAAACCAGTCCTATAGAGACGACAATATGCTCTTCACCTGTCGAAGTGATTTTTCTTTCACTTTAACTTCCAGCAGCACAGCTCCTTCTTGAGCTAGCTGCCCCTGGATATGGCCAATTGTCATAATGAATGCGAGATTCACTGTGGAAAGACTGAGCTGCACACTAACAATACTTGTAGACTTTTGGTCATGAAGTACAAAAAGAGTGGGAAACTTACAAATAAACAAAACTTTCTGTTTCTGGAGAACTTGCGACCGATGAGTAGTACGGCTCACTATATATACTGTCAACGGATTCTTGATACCTTGATACATGCACAGACAGACAATTTATACAACCCCCCAAATCAGTACAGAAGTAACGGATGGTCGATTCGATGAGCCCATAACGCATTCCATAAGTCTTTGCTATTCCCCATAATTATATTCGAGTATTTCTGAGCTAAGTCAAGTGACTCAGAGCACAGCGGGGAGCAAGGCAGATGGGGTAAGAAGTGCAGATTCATAGTGTTTTTCTGGATCCATCTAGCAGCAACTATTGTGGCCTGGCCAGATGAAATCATCCTTGGCTGTAGACAACAGTCAGGTACGTTCAGGAACTGCCCAATTGCAAGATGGTCTGCGGCGCTCAGTTGATATTTCTGGAATGGGCGACTGAGTCGCTGTCGTAGAGAAGCGATATCGGGGGATATGAATACATAGTCGTTGAGAGCGAGAAAACCTAGCTCCAGTGCTGACATCCAATTACCAAGCTCGTAAATATCCGATGATCCCCAATGGAGTGCTGTGGAGGGTCTGTGTCCTTGAACCACTAACCAAATATTGACACAATCCACCCAATGTAGCTTGTCCCATATCCGTCGGTGAAGTAGAAGATTCTCCGGCCATAGTCTTTCGACCCAATGCTTCACACTCAAGGTTTTCATTTCCTTGAACCTCACAAGGAAATGGTTTGGATAACAATGTCTTCAAATTGACCAATAATTTCGCGCCGAGTTCTGGGGCTTAGATAGAAGGGAGAAGGGAGAGAAGGGTTCATATAGAATCCTAGCGGTAGATAATATACTTTAACAACCTCTGTTATTAGGAGTTGCGTCGTTCTAGAACGTTGCGTGAGTGGCTTCCTATGGTTTAGTTTCATCTCTTCTGTCGGTCAGGTCAATTTTAACCTTATACCTTAACGATCTTCATTGTGGACCATTATTCGAAGTCGAATTCATTTGCTTGGGAAATTACATATAGTTTTCTTTGTTTGAGAAACCTGAGACCTGAAAAAACCGTAGGCCCCTTTCGCTCTCCTATACCTTTAATAGCAATTCTTCCGTCATGTACCTATGGGCCAGAAGTTATTCGCCCGTGGAAAGGCTACCCCTCAAAGTTGATTTGCGCAGGTCTATAGCCCAGTGAGACCGTCACATGCCTCGGTTTCAATAGCTCTCCCTGCGTCGTTTGTCTGGCTCCAAGTATCGACCAGCCTTCAAATCCGATCATATGTCTCCATTTCCACACAACTACAGGTGCGGAAATGGAGGACACACTCACTGCTCAAGACGCACGATGCCTTACTTAGTAGGATTAAGATTGTTACATACACCACGCATTTCTCTGGATATTATTAGTATAAAATGCTTACGTTCTCCTAAGTACCTTCCATCGAAATCTCAAAGGATGGAGTGTATACCAGTTGAGCTAAGACAGAAAATACTGACATATTTGTTGGTAAGGGCTGAACTGGTCAGTCTGGGTAATGTACGGAAAGAACTTAGTCATCCGGTCTTCTTTGTTAAGAAGTTCCGTAAGGAAGCTTTGTTCATCTTTTTTCGCAATAACTCCTTCAAATTAATCGAACCAACTCCGGCAAAGGTTGGAAAAGCCCTCCGATCTCTGCTAGCTATTCCGATAAACCCACAATGGATCAAAATGATTACATTACATTATTGCTTTGACGACTGGGGCTGGTTATGGATGGCCGACACAACTACAGCAGTCCTTCGATTGGTACCTGAAAACCCACTATCTGTACTCTCAGTTCAGTCGACGAAATATTTACTACCATTGCAACTCGAGGAACGAACTTTCATTCAATCAATTAATGCAACTTTCGCATATTTCCCCTCTATCAGTTCAGTCTCGGTGATTTTAACAAAGACGTCAACATGTCCAATTCACCAATCGCGGCAAGAGGATGTTGACTGTCTTATGTTTCAACTGCATGGCAATTATCTGCTCGAATGCTTGAGATCTTACATTAGTTCAGCAAAGAGGGTGTATATAATGGGACCACCCTCGAAGTTGGAAAATCAAAGTGGTGATCACACTCTCAACCTCACTATTTACTAAGCTCTCTGATAGCCAATCACACTGTTAATATTACCTTTGCCCAATATGGCACTACCATTTCTTCTAGAAAGATGCAATAATAACAACGTACCCAAGAAGGTCATTGTCGTTGGCGCAGGCTGTGCTGGTCTTGCAATGGCTCGAGCATTGCATAAGCGATCTGCAGAATGTGAGATTGTCATCATTGACCCTATACTAAGCGGCATACGGCTCGACTTTGCCAGAACCACCCAAATTATGTCAACCTCTACTGCCAGCTACGACGCTGGGAGAATCATCAGGAACGACTATATCCACAATATCTACAGGATCATTGCAAGTGCAGCAATGAATCGGTGGCAGACGCTCGAGCCCTGGAGCCATGCTTATCACCGAAGCGGACTCTTGTTAGCGAGCGATACGACTGACAATGGACCGCTCATGGAAACATTTGCGCGATCTCGCGATGAAGTCTCTTCAAACGGTGAGCCATTCGAGGTGGAGGAACTATATTCCAAGCAAGATGTCAAGAGAGCTCTCGGGACTAGTGGCGACGTTGGTGGCTGGGGATACTTACGCCATAATGCTGGTTGGGTGCATAGCGGTGATATCATGCGTACGGTTCTCGAAGACCTGATACAATCTGACAATATTTGCCTCAAGTCCGAAAAGGTAATCTCTCTCCAGAGAAAGGCTGAAGAGGATACAATTCTCGGCGTTGTTCTGGAGTCCGGAGAATATTGCGCGGCTGATCTCGTTGTGCTAGCTACTGGGCCTTGGACAGCAGGGCTAATAGACACCAGAGGCAGAACTGTTGCGTCAGGGGAGACAGTGGCTTATGTGCAGCTTAGGCCTGAAGAACAGCACATTCTTCGTGAGATGCCCTGCTTTGTAAACTTCGATCAAAAGATCTGCTTTACGCCTCCTACAAAGCTTGTGCTTAGGGTTGCCCTTCATCGAGACGATTCGATAAATGCTGTCACTTTCGATCATCCTTGGATTGGTGGAACAACTATTTCAATACCTCCAACTTTTGAGAATAGACTCGACTCTCCACTGCGAGGAACACAAGAACAGAAACTGCGCCAAGCATTGAGGATAATCTTTCCTGCTCTCTCTGAAGCTGAGAATATCCATTTTCGCCAATGTTGGTACGAAGACACATTTACAGGCGACTTTATTGTTTGTTCGCACCCGGATTTTAAACAACTATTTCTGCTCCATGGGCTTGGGGAGCATGGATTTAAGTTCTTGAATGTCATTGGTGACTACGCGGTTGGGATTTTACTAGGCGAGGTTGATACTAGTCTTGCACAACTTTGGGGCTGGCCAAAAGGGAGAACAGAGTGCCAACTTTATTCAAGTCATGGTCAAGGAGGCTGGCGTTGATGTACAAGTCATTATTAATCTAAAGTAATAATCTATTAGGTGAATATCTTCCACTTGTACAGTACTCCGTAAAGCTTACACAGTTATTTATAATCTTCGTGTTACGTTTCGCTCCACCTAGGATGTCACCACACGTAGGGTATCTTGGCAAGTGGGAAGTATAGTCGGAACCGTGTCACTGAGAAAGGATAGGATAGCGCGAGTCGATATACTAGAAGCGAAGTGATCACAACCAAAACGTATGGTCATGATCGCGAACGAACTTTACTACGTGGTAAAGCTATGTAATGACCGCGATTATACTCCGTATAGGCGTGCTTCTCTGTATACTCCGTTCCTCTGTTCGGACAGACACAACATGGAGGAATCGGTCACGTGATACCCCGAAGTTTAGCCGGAGGTCCGTACCTAGGCGGCCTTTGCGCGTTTGTTCCGTCCTCGGCTCTTCGTCACAGCTTGGTATGCGGCCTGCGACCGGGCCTTCGTAACACTTCGCAAAGTTATGTACTAGGCAACCAGTCACAAAGATATAGTTCAGTCTCTTAAGAGACTGAGTTATCTTAAAAATTATAACCAGTTATATAAATACCTTTAACTCCTTCATAACAATTAATAAGTTACAATATTAAGATATTGAAAATGGATACTTTCGACTTTGAAGAGCTAAGAACCCGACGCGAAAAGAGTCAAATTACCAATATGGTCAGTACGTTATGTGCTAAAGGCGCTATAGTACTTCGAAATACTGGCTTGCAAGAATCAACAATTGCAGAGGCATTACACTGGGTGAATTATACTCAATAAACCTGCGAGACTTTTATGCCTAACGTTTTTATAGAGCAGAGCTCTCTTTGAACTTAGCAGAGCGACAAAAGCATGCTTTCAACATGGTCCAAATCCATTACCTCACCGAGGTTACAGTGCCCTCGGCCAGGAAAAGAGTGGTGGTATGGCATTTAATTTCAAAGTTGGTGTCAGTCTTTTACATTATAGTATCTAATCTCTGACAGCATTCACTCTCTAGGAAAGCTACGATATCGGGCCAAATAATGATGACCTTTATCCCAATATTTGGCCTCCCGAGAATACCCTCCCAGGATTCCAGGCTTTCATGGAAAACTTCTTTGATATCATGAATATATTTAAAGACGCTCTACTAGGTCTCTTAGAAGATCACTATGAGGTTAGCAAGGGTAGATTCTCTGCTCTGCACAACATGGCTCAAAATGAACTGCGTCTATTACACTACCCTGATATTAAAACAGAGCTCCTCAAAGACACCAAGAAAGCAGTACGCTTTGGACAACACACCGACTTTGGAACAATTACTATACTCTTTCAAGCTCCCGCGGGTGGTCTTTATTTCCGTTCAATGAATGGTAACTGGAACGAGATCCTCTCCTCCAAGACCGATGCCATTATAACATTTGGCGATACGTTTGAGAGATGGACTAATGGCCGAGTTCATGCCGGTGTTCACTGTGTGCAGGCTCCTTCACAGGCTCAGGACCAGACTGGGGAGCGTTATGCTATTGCGTACTTTGGCAAAGCTAATCGGAACCAGTCTGTAGGAGTGTTGCCAGAATTCGCGAACAAACTTGAGAGTCCAAAGTATGAGGATATGACCGCAGAGGAGTATAATCAGTATCGAATGTTAAGTCTTTACTAGTCCTGTAGAGCTCTAGAGGAGAATATATACTTCTAAGTTTCGTTCTGAATCAAATGGTATAAGTTGTTCTCCTGAAAGCGAGAATAGTGTGAAGAACCACAAAGAACATGAGCAGGCAAAACTCCCTTCTGAGAGGGTTTCATTCCTATCCGGCTGCAGAGCACAAGAAGGCCCGCTGTCAGATCAACACCGCTCAGAGAAAGAGCATCGCACTCTACAGGAATATGTACGAAGAATGTTCCGTCCGAAGCTGGCTCTAGCTGATGTAAGCAACTAGACTATCATAAATTTCAGATGAGGAGACTTGATTGAGCTATACTAGAAATGATCTCCTTCAAAAGGAAATCAATGATGGGTAGATCGATCTGTCTTGTTCCGTGCTCAGCGTAGGAGTTGATGGAATTCGAAGTATTTGTTGCTAATGTCACCATTCACGACATTTCACTATGGAGGAATGCAGGTTGAAGTTCCAGCGTTCGAACCCCCGCGTAGACCACGCCGTGCTAGTTTGAGTCTGTTGCTAAGATCAATATCTTCTCAGTAAGAGAGTTCTATCACGGTCTGCGGGAAGGGCTTGGGAGGCAGTTGTAGATATCCTATATCTGTACCTTTGTTCAACGCCAATTGCTTTGACTGGGCAGTATAAAAGGTGTCATATTTTCATGTCTTAAATTTAATCTTATGATCTCCTCAAACATTTATCTTTACAAGGAGGTAAACAATGGCTCACCAGCTCATTGATATCCGTCACGAATGTCTTACCCAGAACCTACGAAAATCTTTGGTGCAATCCCTCCTAAAAAAAGAGCCAACGATTCCGTCTCTACTCCTGTGGAATGAACGTGGTCTGAATCTATTCAACGAAATGACGGACTATGGACTCATGAATAGCTACGGCAAAAGGACCGAAGTAGATATTCTACAGGCTTACATGCACCATATCACTAGTATAATCGGGGATTGTGGTATTGTTATTGACCTGGGCGCAGGGTAAGTAAAATGAAAATCACTCCTTGACTTTTGAAGATTGATTGCTGGAAGATCTCTGGTAAAATCCCAACTCATTTTGAAGACTTTTGCAAGAGAAAAACGACACGTTCATTATTATGCTCTTGATGTTTGTATGAACGCTCTTTCGCAAAGTCTCAGTCTTATTTCCGAACTTGAGTTATCATTATTTGTCCACTGCGTCGGTCTTGTCGGGACATATAATGACTTAGCTCTTTGGATTTCCAGCAATCATCACCTTTTCGCAACAAAAGTGACATTCTTATGGCTTGGCAATACCATGGCAAATATGTCAAACAGAGAGGCTGTTTCTACAATGGAATCACTAGCTGAGGCGCTACCTAGTGCTATCAGGCCGCTTACGACTTTTATTCTGGGGCTCGACGCCTGTAATGATCCGAAGCGAATTCTCCATGCCTATATGTCCCCAAAAACTAGAGAGTGGGCCATGAACGCTTTGAATCACGCTAACGAACTTATGGGGTACAGTCTTCTATCAACCGATGATTGGGAAGTCCACGGAGATTTCAATGAGGCCATTAAATGTTTCGAGATTGGATTTCGTGCAAGGTCGAATCTGACACTGAGGTTCGATAACTCTTTACTTCATCTACGGGCTGGAGACTTCTTGCACCTAGCCCACAGCAGTAAATGGGTTCAAGCAGATCTGGATCGAATGCTTCAAAACTCCAAGTTTCGGGCATATAAATCCTGGTCTACTCACGGGGAATCTTATAGTAAGCTATGTCTTCTCCTTTTTATCTTTTCGGAAAAGTCTAACCTAAATAGATTGCTTCGCATTATGTTACTGCGGTGAATGGAATGAGGACTGAACAGATCGAAATCTCTTCTTCTTCTTCTTCTTCTTCTTCTTCTTCTTCTTCTTCTTCTTCTTATTCTTCTTCGTCCTCCTCAGACAATAAACCATAAGAATAAACACTCAAGGTCGAGTAAGTCACCTACCTCATTCGTTATCAACAAAGTAGTCAGCTCAACTTAGCCGTGAAAGAGATTTGTATACTATATAAACTTATTAATCGCTTCGAATACAGTGAGATTTACTTACGCCGCGATATCGAGTTTCTTGAAAGATAAGAGATGATTTAATTCTTAGCTAACAGTTAAGTAGACATGTGTGAATCACGAAGATGTCTGATCTTCAGCAAGACTCTATAGTGTCGAAAGAAAGACATTGTCGAATGATGTCGACTTATAACTCTAACTTATCGAGGACTAGTTTGCGTACGGATACGTGAGTGACGCATCGTTATAGGCCAGATCTTCTTTATCTCTGTCGGCCCTTTTGTGACCTCTAGTGCAGGACCTGCAACAGAGATTCTTAAAGTTATATCAGCTATTGAGGAACTGATCCACAGTTACTGCTCGGAAGACTGACACTTGTCGACAACCCAAGCGAGCTGGTTTGATGACGCAGAACAATGAGCAGGAGACCGACAAGATATCTGAGGCGGTTGGGGACAGACATCTTTCTTGAGTGTGAGATTCAAAGTATAATTTTAGCACGGGGCCACAAAAGGAATTGCAAATAGACCTGTACTGTACTTGACAGTAGCATCAATAAAGAGACTATCGTGAGACTGAGAAGGGATTTTTTCGCTAGCCCAAAAAGATACGTCGAGAAAATCAATTCGAGGAATCTCTTGCTTGTGGGATACTATATGGGAGCTTATTATCCCCGGCTCTTCCTTTGTCGATGAGACATATATAGCGCGGTAGACAGCATTCTGGGTGAATAGGTTGATGTTGCCAGCGGGCATTGGTGCAATTGGAGAAGAATTTGTTAGACGGCAGTCTACGCCGTTCTAGCCTGGCCAAGTTAGGGAATTTCTACGCTCCTCTAGAGGCCTATATATAGTCCATATTTGAGCGTACATTCCTTCAATTCTACACGCTCTTCATCCTCTATAGAGGTGCCTATGGCACATCATTTTGCCGTCCAACAGAATTCCATGCGTTGGGCACTTTTCTGAACAGCAGGCTTCCGAACAGTATAGCGGCTTGCTGGGGCCTTGAACGAACTTTATCTCAGATTAATCTAGTGTCAATACAAATTATTCTAAATGGAATGTCCTCTGCCGCCCAGCCGCTTCATGAGTTTTCGACACTCTTTGACACGCTGACGAGATTACAGCGACTTCTTGTCCCGGAGGTTTGTGGCCGTGTCACGTGCCAAGCAGGACAAGTGCTAGCCTAGTCTTGGCACCTTTATCCTGCCCACTACTTCATGGCACTTTGGCTGTTTTTTGCTTTGATTGCCTGCTTCATATAATCATCGTCATTGAATGCAATGAAATAGTGCTTGATTACATTTATCACTCCATGAAAAGGATCTTAGTCATTTGCTTCGACCTTGCTGCTTCACGCGTTTGGGCAACTTATTACTGCTTTCCTCGTTGAGAGCCAAACTAATTTCTGATGCTTTACGGAAGAATTGATCGTATAGCTCTATCAAGTCCGTGAACGGGCGTTCAAGTTACTTCAAGCTTTCCATGGCCCTGGGATAGAACTTTCTACGCTCTGGCTTGGAGCAATCTTGCTCAAAGCAATGGCAACAATCTCGGAATGGTGCTATCGACATTTCTACGAATGCACAATCTCATGTAAGCCTGGGAGCTTACTCGTCAAAGCACACGCCTATGAGAACAGCAGGTATGCATCTTTCAGAGGATTCTGGTCTGGCGTTGAGACTGCTTATAATGTAAAATACTCTAAGACTAACTCCTATCTTACCCGAACATGTATCAGGCAATTTGAATTCAAGTATCTTGCATTTCTACCGTGGATCCTTCAGATCTGGCCTGTCCCTCTTGATTAGAATCACGGTCTCTGATCTGGCTTTCCACCGATCTCTTGAAGATCAAAGACCATTGTCTATGATGTTCAATATATTTCTTCATCGTGTCCATGGAAGCTCTCACCCTGTCCCAATGGTCAGTCACAAGGAGTTTGGTCCAACGGAAACATATACCAATCTTGAAACTCTGAGAAATGAATTTCCAGTTGATTGCATTGAGATTGGAGAGATTCGATCTGATCGCTCCGGGCGTGGAGGGAGGTCACTCCCTGCTTGATCTCCTCCAACGTGGCTGCAAACTCGGCAGGCATCTTTAGTTGACTGACATCTGGTTCTGGAGCCGATTGTGTAAACGCAGTATCGGCGCACATGTGCGGACAAATGCCTGCATTGTCTTGTCGAAACGGGAAAGCGGTGGATGATTGTTGAGGTAGGTAGTTGGTGGTGTCCTGGACATATCCGTTGGTGATAGGCTGTTTGTAGAAGAGAAGTTGAAGGGCGTCTTCGCACGACATTCCGCCGGTGGCGTTTTGGGTATTTTGCTGAAAGGCCATCGAAGAATGGTACAAATGTGGGGTCAATTGCGTAGGTCACTCCCTCGAAGGTCATTTCCTCATGCAAGTTCACCCAACCAACACCCAGTGGGAAATATACCTTTAAGGTATGCTTTACTATATCCAGTCCATCGCGAATCGTGGGTCGCGATTGTCCTCACCTCAAAAACGACAAACGCCGGCGCTTCTCGTGGGGCCGGAAATGTCCCTCCAGAATATAGTGCACCAAACTCCCTTGGCACCGAGGGGTCCAAGCCGGGCTCCTGCAATAGAGATTTCCTAGCAGATAGTGCGACGGTAGGGAACCCACCGGCTCAGTGGAGAGCCCTAGAGGGCTGATCATGTCCAGCCCTGCACCCACAGCCCCAAGCCTGGCTCAATGCACCTAACAACAGACCTTGCAAACGGCCGATCGACTCTCACTGCGCAAGGAGGTTGTTATTCTATGGTTGAGTTGACCGTAGGCCGCAAGGAAAATGGTGTCTCCACTCCTAGCTATTTATGAACCGAGAAGGGCGGCGCTTCTATTTCAAGATGAAGGACATGGCGCGCTCGTTGTGAACTATTTTTAGCTCTTTGTCGCTGCCGTCAGCGTTGTCGCCGCGGATATTGTTTATGGATGA